TAGAGACTGTCAAGTTTCCAATTGCATTTTAACTAGAAAGCCACTTTCAATAGCGTGATTGTCACGACAGGCTGTAACAGGGAAAGGTCGCACAATCTTGTGGGATGAGGCCAGTGAAATAGAAGCTTTCTCTACATCAAAAACAGGGAAGCTGAAAGCTAAATGACCCACCATCTCACAAAAGGCACTGAGTACTATGGTGTCATAAAGTGTTTTTAAAACATTTTGATAACTTATTTTAAAAAGAAAAAGAGTAACCTGTGGATTATGTGAGTTTTTGCAGCGATCCAGTGATTCTTTCCAGCAGGCCCCTGCTTCCCAGTTCTATGAGCAACTACTGCTGGGCCAGGCCCTGGCTCTCGAGGGCTGAGTTTCAGTTTAAGGCCAGATTAAGGGGGAAAATTCATCCGAATAGACCTGGACAAGGAAAATTTGGTATCTGTAGCTTTTAAGGGCACATACATCCATAATAAAATGCAATTCTTATCTGAAAATTTAAAATCATAATTTATAGAAACGAGTTAAAGTCTGTGGATTTCATTCACATGCTTACTGTTAAGAGAAGTAACTTGCTATTTGTAGCTTATATGCCGCAAAAGTTAGCCATCAACATCCATGCTTAGTTTTAAAGAATAATACTTGGTAGGTTGTTTACTTTTAACTGGGGATAGAGAGATGGAAATTACTATTTGTTCAGTCACAGGACAGTGCCCCAAATCTTGCTGACTGAGCACAGAGCAAGCCTGGGAAATTATTACCATCTTTGGGAGTCAGGCCTCACTGACACAGACCGTTCTGAATCTCTGACCGTGACGCCTGTCTCTGGGCTACTCAACAGAGCTGAATAGCTGGAAGGGCTGACGGCTCAACCCAACTGCCAAGTCCCTTCCAGGTAGTGCCATGAACAGGTGCACGAAAAGGTTAAAAATTCCCACGTAGTTTTGGATATTAAGATAAACTGTATTCCAGCTTCCTGGCTCTTGTCTGAACCTGGAGAATACAGGGAAATGTCACCCTGTCAGAACCTCTTCTGCCTGGAATTCTTCCTTTTGCAGAGTGGAGATTCTGACTTCATGGCCCTTCCCAGGCAGGCTCACCCAAAGGAAAATGGAGTGAAGAAAATCACCAGCAAATCTTCCCTGCTGAGGGACCTTGCAACACCCACATTAGTTTACATTAGCAACTTTATCAAAAACTCTCTTTAGAACATAAGGAAAGTCTGGATACATGTCTGTATACATAATATACATCTATGTACACATACACACACTATATACACTGTACATAGAGAGAGGATATAAACACATGTACATTCATTCAGTCTTACAGCCTAAAAACCTGTACACGCACGACGCTGCTGAAGGGACCCAGGGCCGGACATGCGAAGTGCACGCTGGTGGGAGGCACACAATGAGAAGGTCCAAACCCTGCGTACAAAAGACCCAAACCAACCCTGTCTTGATGAGAGGCTGGCTTTAAAAATTTACATCAAAGTTAAGACATTTTCAAAGAGCCACATAACCGAAAGAATGGAAGCTGAATAAAGAAAGCACGTGGGGCGTCTGCTCTGCTGGCTCAGGCATTCCCAGGGCCTAGTGGGCACTGCCCTCCCTGGGGGAAAAGTGGCTATCAGATGATGAGACTTTCCATGACCTGGACTAAGAGAAGAGTTAAAATGTTACCAATGACCCCATTGCACGTAAAGTCATTTACACTAGAAAGTGGGCAACAAACTTCCGGACTCTAATGAGATCAGGTTCCAGAACATGGATGTACAGACATGGCATGAACTACTGATTGTGGCCAGGGGCTGGAAGCCCTGCAGAGGGCGGGCTGTGAGCAAGAGTGCTCTGCAGGAAATATCCTCAAAGGACTATGAAAGTAAAAGCACTAGAAATAGCTAGAGTCCTTAGAACTTTTTGTTCCTTGCCGTAACTATCCCCCAAACAAGACAGACAGCTAAATACGTGTGTAGCGTGGATATTGCCTTGAGATTAGGGAGCCAAACGCATCCACTGTTACCACCATGGCTGGTGTCCTAACTGCCTCAGAAGAGTCCACATTCAATACTGACAATGACAAGCTAAAAATCAAGTCCCTCTTGAGGGCAATTACACATCTTAGAAGTGACTACACCTGAAATTAAATATAAAGCCCAGAACAGCAAAAGAACCTCAAACCACAGCCTTATGGCAAGGATTAGACAATAAATAATGTAACCCCTCAGGACACACATAGAAATGTCAAATTAGGAGAGTATGGTAGGTAACATACTTCCTTAAAAACACCTTCCAGGAGTAACTTGAAAAGTATTACTTGCTCAACTAATTTGGTCTTTCAAAAAATCTCTTCCTGTCCTGTTTTACGCTAATGTGTAATGATCTCCACCATTTTCAACATCTATCTGTCTTAACCCAACATTATATGAGATACTTCTGGAAAAGAGTCCACTTAACTAAGAGGTGACAGCATGTGTCTGTCCCACCTCTCTGAGCCAGCTACCTCTCCTCACTGAGGGAGGAGCGGCCAGGCCAGTAGAAGAGGGAGCATGACATGGCTCCGTGGAGTTCAGCAGCCAGAGGACAGGTCTCACTTCATGAAACCCAAAGTTTCACAAACTGCTAACAAGGGCTATAAGCCCTGTGAAAGCTGGAGCCCAAATATTTGGTTTGCATCTCTTTAAGTAATTCTTGACTTTGGGCTGACTTTCCTTAACCAACCTGATGGGAGATGAAATGGACCTGCAGTCAAAGGCTTGAAATGAGTTCAAGCAACAAGAATTCAGGTTATGCGGACATGATCCTTAAAGAAAAGGCCACTTCAAAGTAAAGCCAAGAGGATCTCAGAAACCAACCAAGAGGTGTTCAAAGCCAAAACAGTCCCTGGAATCAGCCATCACCAGCAAAGGGACTGAAAGAGCAGGCCCAGGTTAGAATCAGCACCTTTCCAAGCAAAATCATGTTTTCTGCAAGGCTGTTTCACCAGAGCCCAACACTTCCTCATCCAACGTGAGTCTAAGAGGCCTACTGGCTGCCACTGAATGACCTGGGAATGAGAGGAGGGGCTGGTGGAGACCTTTTCACCAACACCAAGAACTGGGATCTGAAAGCTATTATGCTTGTATTCCCAGGGAACTGCAACATGGCCCTCATGGTCACTCTCAAGAATCAAAATGACGGAAGGCAGGCAACAATCTGTGTTAGAGGCACGGCTGAGCTTCAGAATGCCTGCTACTAAAATCCTTCACAAACAAGAAATGAAACAAACCTGCCCTAATTCCATTGTCTCAGCTGGTTTTTTGTCTTAATTTTGAAACTGAAAACATCAGGGTTAGAAAAGTAAAAAATTACTTTAAGCTGGCAAAATTAAATCCTTCCCATCATTTTATAATGGCCACCCCCACTACTCCCCAAAATTTGTTGCCACGGCAAGAATTATAAAATGATATAATTAAATCCAAATAAGAATTTAGAAGTTGGAGACACTGTTCTCACTTACCCTACTAACAATGACTTGCATAAAGTGCTGCTAACCCTTCAGGATCAAGCATCCTGTTCTGCCTTGAGCCTGCGGCAGCTTCCATTCTGTCCAGTGTAGCTCCACAGGGGCATCTGTAGCTGGCTAGACTGCACCCCTATGGAGCACATGTGTGGCACCAGCCTCAGCCAGATCAGAGCCCCTGTGAGGCAGGGGAGTGTCCAGGGATCTTTTTGGATATCATCTGATTAACAAATCAAGAGGGGCAAATTTAACCCAACAGGGTATATTTTCTTAATCTGGACTATTTAAAAAGAAAAGACAAAGCAATTGACCTGGTCTTCCACATGCCACTTTTCTCAAACAGGAAAAGCTTGCTATACATTCACATCCATGGGAATTTATGGGTGTTTGCAGTTAGACATAACTGCCTTTTAAGCACGTATTCTGTTCTTGCTATAAACTCTGGTTGCTATAATTTATGAGGAGAAAGACTATCACCGTGGAAATTAAGGGTTGTTTTTAAGGAGCAAGCAGTCTGCATTTAAAATGCTCCAGGGTAGTCGGCAGGCACACACCTGGGGGAACCAAAGTGCACAGAGTGCTGGGAACATTAACAGACTTGCCAGCAGAGATGCCAAGTCTACACACATTTTTAAAATCTCTGGTATTTAAGGTCAACAGGAAGAAACTGTCCTGAAACCTTCCATCCAGCTTTACCAGGCCCTGACCACTCTGGCCAGCCCCACAGTTCTGATGGAGCTGCAGAAACACAAGTCCTTTTCAAGGGGGCATTTGGAGTGGAAAGCCCTGGGAAGGTAACCCTCACACTCCAAGGCCACACTCCTCCATCTGGACAAACACGCAAGCACCCCCAATTGTATTGGAAGTACTGTCAAGGGCTCAAAATGCCCACCTTGCGCTTTTTGGTCACAAGGCTCCATCTGCCACGAGCAGTGGATGTGACTTGGGGATGTTTTCACTTGCTGGAGGAATTGTACATCTCATTTGGCAGTTAATGTCTGACTAGTTGCAATCCAATTCAGATAACCAGTCATCAGAGGAGAACCCCAGGTTCTAGAGGAGTCTGCAGATGCCCATCAGAGACCAGGACCAAGTAGTCAGGGAACCTGACAAGTGTCTGCTCTATGGCTAGAGGCTTCTGGACTGGGTCACCACCGACTGTGCTACCACACTCCCACTTACTGCATGATGCAAATGAGCCACGTTTTCATTCACAGAATTCAGCTCAACTCCACAACTTGTGCACACAATTAGGAATGATGCCTTCTTTTCTTAAACATAAATGATTGTCTCCTGTACCCTAGTGAGTTTTCACAGAAACCATTAGCATTTCGGCAAAAGACATATACAGTTTTCCATTTGCCCTGCCCACAGGCAAGATGTTGCTAACATTACACATTGATAAGTGCTTAGAAAGTGCTAATATTATTACCCTGGTAATTAGTATCTATAATTCCAAGGACATTTTTTATATATATATACACACATACTATTCTCTTAGGTTCTTTCAGTTTTCTTTAATACTAGTCTCTGACGTTATAAAACCTTTTTTTTTTTGTTTTTTGCCCTTTGAGAATTTCTAAATACAAATTGAGTTAAAAGATTGCTCCAAAATCTGCTGCTTCATCAAAAGGCATTAAAACATTTCTTATGTCAGGAAAGGATCCTACTAGTCTTTTCATTGCCATTGTCTGGGATTAACAGATAAGAAGAAACCAGACAGGAAACGGCTAACATATGGAAATATTTGCACATACCAAAATACCACTACTTTTCTTTTCTTTGTATGTGAACGGTCCCGGTAGGATTCTGTTGCTCCTTGGCAGATGTGTGGTGTGTACTATAGACTGGCTCCGGTGATCTGGCCATTATACTCTGCTGTCTCCATCTTGAGGATGTAGGGGATTATGCTGTCTATCGAAACATTGCCAATGAGGCCAGTAAAAAAAAGTTCTTCTGTTATGTTGGAGCTCATCAGCCTGAGTGCCGGCAGGCGAACGAGGATCCGGGCCAATCTGTAAAAGGGAGCGTCATTAGAAAAGGAGACTGATGCCCTTCAACCACAGCTCAGCACAGGCTCCTGGGGCCCTGTCTGTATTGCACAGAATCAAACCAAATGGATCCACCATCCACCCACCTCTTTTTTCTGATTTCAGCAGTTCCTCTAATAGAAATTTATCATGAGAAAAAAACCAAACGAGTACAAAATGTACAGATATGTTCCCTTCACTCTTGTTTATTCCAACTCTCCTCACCCCCACCGAAAAGAGAAAACCTGGAAATTCATCAACAGAGGACAGGTTAAAATAAACTAGGAGTCTTCATATGATGAACTGCTAAAGACTCATTTAAAAAACGATAATACAAATCTGTATTTACTGATCAGGAAAGACATCCATGACATATTGCTCAATAAAAATTTAAAGGAGATTATAAAACAGCAAGTATAGATGTGTACATAAAGTACTGGGAAAATGTTCACCACAATGCTAACAGTTGGGCTCTAGGTATTGGGATTTGAGGTGATTTTTTTCTTATTTTTTGTACTGCCCTAATTTTCAGTGTCCCTTTAGCATTATAAATAAAGCAGTAAAATAGCTTTCATTTTGAAGAAACTTGGGGTGGAGGGTGCACCACGACACTGCCCTGGAGGGCCACTGAACACTGTGTATCTCAAGTGTCCCATGTGACCAGGCCATTTCCCAGCCAGGACTGCATCCCAGGCGAACAAGTGAAGCATGTGCCAGGATGCTACTGCACAGTCATGTGTGACAGCCCAAACTGGAAACACCCTACCGTTTCATTAGCAGGGAAATAGGAACCACAGAAAATGAAGAGGAGTATGTATTGTTATTGTATATTACATGAAAAAAGGTTACAAAACCTTTGGTATTTTATGATCCCAATTATAATACATAAAAAATTTCTGGAAGTGAATACGCAAAATGTTAATAGTAGGTATCTCTGGATAGTGCTTTTTTTGTTTGTTTTTGTTTTTTATTTTGAGACAGCGTCTTGCTCTGTCATCCAGGCTGCAGTGGAGTGACGTGATCACAGTTCACTGCAACCTCAACCTCCCAGGCTCAAGTCATCCTCCCACCTCAGACTCCTGAGTAGCTGGGACTACAGGTGCACACTACTACATCTGGCTAATTTTTCATTTTTTTCTCGTAGAGATGGGGTCTCACTATGTAGCCCAGGGTGGTTTCAAAGTCCTGGGCTCAAACAATCTTGCTGCCTCAGCCTCCCAAAGTGTGGAAATTATAGGTGTGAGTCACCATGCCCTGCATGCTTTTTTAAAAAAAGTTTTTTAATAGTGCTTTTTAAAAAGTTTTCTTTTCCCTTTCTAGAACATTCTAAGTTTTTCTACAGTGAATACTACTTATTTTTAAAATGGGAAAATGTATTCATACTACGCAGGTAGCATTCCAGCATCAGCATCCATTCACTCAGCCACAATGAGTCACTGTGCTCCAATCTTGCAGGGCACACAAAGGTGTAAGAGACCTGCCATTTCAGCTGGGCCTTAGGGGCTGGCTAAGATTTCTATCAGCAGAGATACAAAGAATGGGGAGGGATGGGAGGTATTTCAGGAGGAATAATCAATATGAGAAAAGGCACAAGGATGGGGAAGAGTCAAAAATGGATATTCCAGATAGTAAATACCAAGATAAAGAAAAAAATGAATATGCAAATAGGATGTAAAACACTCTAGGGCCTTTTCTTTGAGAACTCTCTCTGAGTGAATTTCTGAGCCCTATAAGAAAGCCTCCCTTATCATTTTGGGCTCCAAGTAACCTGTCATCACCCTAACCAACCCTGGGTCCCTGACTGGACAGGAGTGACTCATGTTTTCAGACACATTATATCTACCTTCCAGGGCAACAGAATTGCTGATGTTAAAGTGATTCTAGAGTGTGCTGTGGCTCTGTCAGCAGCCCCAGAGGGCCATTTCCAGCCATCTTTTGGCCATGGGAACTGTGGGTGAGCAGGCCTGTGGCCTCCTAGGAGGACAACCTGACTGCACACTTGGCTAGATGTATAAATTCTGGGTGTGGGTGCCTTCCCTGACAGTCCCATTCTCTATGTATTGAGGCTGAAGTTATTCTAGATTCATGATGAAGTCTTCGATGATTCCAGTAGAAAATGCATCTTGCTTTTGTAAAAGCCACATCTGGGCAATAGAAGTATGCCAAAAGGAGAAGCAGGCTCTTGTCTACCAGCAGGACCAGTCAGCCATAAGACACCCCCAGTCACACCAGAGAAATGGCTGGGACTGTCCTGGTTTTAGCGCTGAAAGACTAAGAGCTGGTTACTCTGCTGGGGGGCAAAATCATTTCTTTTGAGAAGCACTGGGCCAGAAGGGGTAGCCCCCAGGGGCATCTCTGTTCCATGGGGCTCCTGGAGACTGAGGTCTGTGCAGAGGACACACGTCTGAGGAAGGTGGGCCCGTGTGTCTTCCCAGGCTGTCAATTTTGTTCCAGTGTTTATTTTAGGGGGACATGGTGGGGAGGGAAATAGGAAATACTTTACTTGAAAGGGTCTCAGAAATTCATGTAGCTTCTGGTGGGTCAGAAGTTGTCATAGGAAAGCACTCTTCCATCTTTGGCCGGAAAGCCTGCCAATGCATTCTGACCTTTGGCAGATCTGAACAATTTTCCTGCCTAAAACGGCATGAGAAAGGCTTTTTTTTTTTTTTTTTTTGAGACGGAGTCTCACTCTGTCGCTCAGGCTGGAGTGCAGTGGCATGATCTCAGTTCACTGCAACCTCTGCCCACCCCGCCAGGTTCAAGCGATTCTCCTGCCTCAGCCTCCCCAGTAGCTGGGATTACAGGCGCCTGCCACGGTGCCCAGCTAATTTTTTTTTTAATATTTTTAGTAGAGATGGGGTTTCACCATCTTGGCCAGGCTGGTCTTGAACTCCTGATCTCGTGATCCACCCGCCTTGGCCTCCCAAAGTGCTGGGATTACAGGCGTGAGCCATCACACCTGGCCCTAATTTTTATACATATATTTTTGCTGCACATTAATTACAAATACTACCACCAATTTTCACCCAAATAAACTTTTTTCCATCAGTTTATCTGAGGGCAAAATGACTTTATGTAACTCATCCACTCCTTTATGGGGTCAGATTTGATTTCTGTCAATAAGAACTTTTCTGTCAAGTACTCTAGCACTGCCTCTTCAATGGATGCTGACCAGAGAAGCAGACCTGTCAAACTATTCTGGACAAGGGAATCTCCATGAGAACTCAAGCCTCATGTACAGTGTTAGCCCTAGAACAGGCCACGTAGCATCTGCTCCAACTCCTCCAATTAAAGAGTAGCAATCTGAGGCCTCGCTCACAGTCACACAGCAACACTGGAATCAGCCACAGTCTTGGCCCTCCTGCTGGCACCGTCTACACTCTACACCACCTCTAGCATTCAAGAATTATCTCTAGCTCTTGGGAGCTAGGAAAAAAACAAAGAAAACTCAAGAATTAGAGTGTGATCCACTGGAGGCTCTATCAGGCTGCTAAAAATGGAAAGGTTAACATAATTTATATTAGAAACTACAAACCCAGCCACATTCCTTGCGGCCCCAAGCAAGAGTGCATGCCTGAATGCCTCACCGGTAGGTGTCTTCCGAGTAGGTTTTCTGAACATAGTCCTGCAACTCCATCTGTGCCTTTTCTTGGAATTTTTCAATCTGGCTTGTGCTGGTCAAACCTGGATGATCTGAAAACAGAAAAGTACCCCCCCCCCAATTTCCTTTGTATTTGAAAAGTCTCATTTGCAGACTTCTTAGTATTTTCAGTCAAACGTCTGCAAACTTCTTAAGTATAACAAATTGAACTCAAAGACTGATCTAATTTGGGTATTATTAGAACGCTGGCTTTTCCTCTGTTTTCTGCCCAGGCCTGAAGTTCCTGGGAGGAGGTTGGGGACCCTGAGTGGATGCCAGTCTGAGCAGCCCCACATGGATGGTTCTGGATATCTGGCTTCCTACTACCTTAGAAAATACAGTTTCAAAGACTATCGCATAAAATTAGAAATTGTCATTTACTTTCTAAATATTTAATTATATAATTTGTCCCAATTTTACTAGCTATTTTATTTGTGAGTGGAGGGCTGGGAAAGAAGAGAAAAAGGTTAAGCTGTGTCCAACCCCTACTGTGAGGTGAACAATGAGCCTAAGTAACTTTTCTAGAGGCCTTGAGAGGAGTGAGGCTGCCTCTTCATCTCCTGTGAACATACCTTTTAGCATGCTCTGCAGCAGCTGCTGCTACTGCTATACACAGTCTGTGGGCAAACAGGTGGAGCTTCAATGTGTACTGGATTATATGCGCTAACAAAGCTTTGAAACTGGCAAAGGGCCAAAATAAATAAATAAATAAAAAGAAAGGACATCGGGTGGTAGCACACTTTTGTTTTATATGGTGTAATCTTGTTTGGCCAATGGTTTCATTAGGACACAGATTAAATCTATTCAGTGTGTGACATCATCAGGCACTGCAGCATATTTCTTTGGGGCTATAAAGGCAAGAATTTAAAAACGTTTATGTATTTATCTAGCAAAATACCTATCGTAAGAACACTAGGTCACATATAATCTGCAGGCCTCTTTCTACACCACTGATGGCAACATGTTCATGTTCAGAAACATCAGTAGATACAGGTGGAAAAGGGTCATGCGTCCCCACCGCATATCTTACCGGGGCTAAAGAGAACTATAGCTTTAAGGTATGCATACTCATAGCCATCTATATCCAGCTTCGCCATGCTGTTACAGAACTCCTGCAGCTTCCAGATGTGCTCCATGACTTGCTTTATCCGGTCACCAGAAAGTTTATCTAGAAACCAATATCACAGATCCTCTGAGAAAGGCTGGTAAGAACAATAAAACCAGCTTATTTGAGGGACCACAGATGGAAAGAAATGGGACCATTTCACTTTTTAATGAAAAAGCAGTAATCTCAAGATGAACAAGAGCTTCATTTTCCAGCTGCAGGTGAAGTGACAAGAGGTACCCAAATTCTGCTCCAATATGGGTTCTGCCTCAATAACGAACTCCTAGACCAGTGATTCTCCCTAGCCCTGCTGCCAGGCAGCTGGCCTGTAGGTGTACATTGTGAATTCCTTTTATTCTGTACCTGAATAATAATTTCTTTATTCTGAAGACTCACAGCTTACATACTTGGTTAGGTTTTTTAAGTCTCTGCAGGCACCGGAACATTAAATGCTGGTAATTTTTAGTTATCAAAACATTTTTTTTTTGGAGTTGGGTGTCTTACTATGTTGCCCAGGCTGAACTTGAACTCATGAGCTCAAGTGATCCTCCCACCTCAGCATCCTGAGTAGCTGGGACTACAGGTGTGCATCACCATGCCTGGCTTCAGAACAATTTTATATATTTCATTTAATCTTCATGACAATACTGGCAGTATTAGTATTATTATTCTCAGTTAAAAAAACTGGCTAGTTGTGGTGGCTCATGCCTCTAGTCCCAATGTTTCAGGAGGCCAAGGCAGGAGGACTGCTTGAGGCCAGGAGTTTGAGACCAGGTTAGGCAACATCATGAGAGTCTGTCTCTACAAAACAACAACAACAACAACAAAAAAACACCAACACCAAAAAACAAAGAAAACTAAAGCTCATTTGTGAACAAATCTTACTTCAATAAAATGTAAGGGTTTTTTGTTTTTATTTTAAGTCTCACTCTGTCCCAGGCTAGAGTGCAGTGGCACAATCTTGGCTCACTGCAGCCTCTGCCTCCCAGGTTCAAGCGATTTTCCTACCTCAGCCTCCCAAGTAGCTGGGATTACAGGCACTCACCACCACATGTCCGGCTGATTTTTGTATTTTTAGTAGAGACAGGGTTTCACCATGTTGGCTAGGCTGGTCTTGAACTCCTGACCTCAAGTGATCCACCTGCCTCAGCCTCCCAAAGTTCTTGGATTACAGGCGTAAGCCACCACACCCAGCCTGTTATAGGGTTTTTAAAACTTCACCCTTACGTAAGTATTCCAAGGAAATAACTAGAAAAACAAATGTATGACTAGGTCACTCACATTCCTAGATATCAGATACCCGGAATGCCCAATTAAAAGTGAAGTTCCAAGCCTAGGCAGCATGGCGAAACCTCATCTCTATAAAAAAAATATAAACATTAGCTGAGTGTGATGGCACACGCCTGTAGTCCCAGCTACTTGGGAGGCTGAGGCAGGAGGATCACTTGAGCCCAGGGGTTCAAGGCTGTAGTGAGCTATGATTGCCACTGCACTCCAGCCTGGCAACACAGAGACTCTGTATCAAAAAACGAACAAACAAAAAACAACAATACTTTCCACTTCAGCTACAAGTGTAGATTTTCAGTGTTACTTTGAATTCTGGGCATGACAGCGGTCTTCAGAGTGTTGCAGACATGCTACACATGGAGAGACTACAACGGCTACCTCCTATTCCTGACACTGCTGGTGTTTTGAACACCAAATACTAGATAGTTGCCGCAGATCTCACTAGAAAAGTCATTTGTTCATTCTTAAGGAGCAGCCTGGGTGAGGTACATATGTTCTGTACTAGGGGGGCAGCATGATGCAGGTCTGTGCCCTAGTTTTTTGTTTTTTTTTTTGTTTTTTGAAACAGTCTCGCTCTGTCACCCAGGCTGGAGTGCAGTGGCGTTATCTCAGCTCACTGCAACCTCTGCCTCCTGGGTTCAAGCGATTCTCATACCTCAGCCTCCTGAGTAGCTGGAATTACAGGCATGCGCCACCATGCCTGGCTCATTTTTTTTTTTTTAGAGACAGAGTTTCACTCTGTTGCCCAGGCTGCAGTGCAGTGGCACGATCTTGGCTCACTGTAACCTCCGCCTCCCAGGTTCAAACAGTTCTCCTGCCTCAGCCTCCCGAGTAGCTGGGATTACAGATGCCCACCATCACGCCTGGCTAATTTTTTGTATTTTTAGTAGAGACAGGGTTTTGCCATGTTGCCCAGGCTGGTTTCAAACTCCCGAGCTCAGGCAATCCACCTGCCTCAGCCTCCCAAAGTGCTCGGATTACAGGCATCAGCCACCGCACCCGGCCTTTTTTATTTTGTATTTTTAGTAGACAAGGGGTTTCACCATGTTGGCCAAGGCCAAGCTGGACTGTCCTGACCTCCGGCGATCCCGTCTTGGTCTCCCAAAGTGCTGGGATTACAGGTGTGAGCCACTGCACCTAGCCTGTGCCCTAGTTTTTGTATTTACTGTTTCATTTGGGGCAAGCCAGGGACCTTATCAGGGCCTCAGTTCCTCCATATGAAAAAATGAGGTAATAGTCCCTACTTTATAGGGTTGTGAGGATCTGTGAACTATTAGACATGAGAAAAGTAACTTGTGAATGTCAATGAAGATGAAAATATCAGCTGTGATTATTCTGCAAACATTACTAAATGCCTAGCAAGAAGCTGACCTTTTCCATTTTTTTCTTTGTATTAATCGTATGAAGAGGACAGTTGAGCAGAAATTTACATATTCTAACTGATAAGCGTCCTGTAACATTCATTCATTCATTCATTAAGATGAGATCTTGCTCTATTACCCAGGCTGGAGTACATGGAATAATCACAGCTCACTGCAGCCTCAAACTCTGGGCTCAAGCAATCCTCCTGCCTCAGCCTCCTGAGTATCTGGGACTATAGGCAGATGCCACCAGGCCTGGCTAATTTTTTGTACTTTTTGTAAAGACAAGGTCTCGTTATGTTGCCCAGACTGGTCTCAAACTCCTGGGCTCAAGTGATCCTCCTGCCTGGCCTAACAAAGTGTAAGGATTACAGGCGTGAGCCACCATGCCCAGCCCAAAGGTTCTATAACTTAACAGCCAAACTTCTCTCAGCCTATGGATGTTGTGGGACACTGAGGCTATCCAATTTGCTATGTTGCCAGCCTGGGTCGACAAAGGTGTCTCTGACATGGGCCTTCAACCAGGGGGTTAGGCTCTGCTCCACAGCCACAAGACTAGGCCAAGACACACCCCAGCCCCAAGTCCCTGTGCCCTACCTTCCTGGATGCTGTTCTGCAGGTGGTTGACGATGGCAGCCAGGATGGTGGAGAGACTCATGACCTGGGCACACTGGGCCAGGCCGAGGGTGAAGAGCTCATTCCAGCAGGCCCGCACCAGGCTGGTGTTGCAGTCCTGCCTAGGAATATAGAGAGGGGCCTGAGTGTGGTGTGTGCTGGCATTTCTCCAAGGTTGTGGGGCATCCAGGCACTAAGTCACAGCATTTCCCGAACAGGTGAACTCAGTAAGTGTTTGTTGAAGTGCTATCCAGGATCATTCTTCAAGAAAAAGATGAAGTCTATGAATAAGTCTATGAATGTTTTAACTAAAGTCCTTCTAATGATCAACTATTCTCTTAAAAAACATCCTTTAAATAAAAAGTTTTAATAGGTATGGCCAAATCATCATTTCCTACAGTATTCTAAAGCCTCAGCATCCTGGATTGGCTCTGTCCCAGGAGATGGTATCAGTTACTTTGGTCCTGCAGCCAAGGTCACGAGAGGCTGCGGGGACCAAAAGACTAAGAGCTGAGTACAGATTCTGAAGGGCAGAAACATGCCCTCCAAACCTTGCAGGGAAGGAGGCAGGCTTTGTGCTGGATCCGAGACAGAAGCAGGGAGGATGAGGGTTCAGCTAAGGCCGCTTCCAGCCCTGTCCTGGCTAATTTCTACTCAGGTTAGTCAGTAAAGTTGGCACACCACAAAACAATACATCCTTATTCTCAGAAACTCCTAAATTGCATTCCCTCACCTGTCTCAAGATTTCAGGAGGCTGGAGAAACTGGGCTGTTTTGACAAAGCTGTTTCCTCCAGTTGCCTTAAGTGTGGCCCAGCCAGAGGAAGGCAGTGAGAACCAAGACTACTGCACTGTGTCATTCGCAAATGCCCCAGATGCACGTCTAGTATTTTACTATGATCACTGCCCTGAACAGTAACTTATGAAAAACAGTACATGAAATGTAACTGAAACCACTTTAAATGTGGTAGCTCATTTTATCTAGCCCGGACTGAGAAACTCTGTGGAGGAGGTTCCAAATTATCCAACTAGAAAAAGTACACTCAGGGCAGTGGGTGGATCATGTTTCAACCTCATTTAAAAAAAATCTCAGGTACCTATCAGTACTATTAACTGTAGACTGTGGTGTTACTAAAAAAAAAAAAAAAAAAATGCCTGAGGTTACACCACGTACCAGATACCAGCAAGGGATAGGCAATTCTCCCAAAAAGCTAACAATGAAACTCCTAATACTTGTTTAGCAGTCACTACCTGTCTTGTTCTCCCTGGAGAATGAGACAATTCTGTCTGCCTTTCCTTTAATCATGGAGGGAGGTGACCATTCTAACTACTCAGGACACATCCCACACCACCTGACCCACAGAACCACACTGCCTTCTGCTGAGTCCCTTGCATGCCAGGCACTGGGTTAAAAGGTTTATAGATCTTAACTCCACGCAAGGATTCTACAACGAGAAACTGGAGGCTCAGAGAGGTAAAGTGACTTGCACAAGGCCACACAGCTGACAGGCGCTATTTTTATGCCCGACAACCAGGTCTGTTTGCCCCAAAGACAACAGTGTAAACTACTTGACAACGCTGCCCTCCATTCTAGTGTTTTCCACATATTACCTAAGGATGGTTACTCTGCAATATGCAGTAACTCTCATTGCATTTCCATTTTTGTATGGTTACTTATCTTTCAACCAGACTGCCAGTCACCTGATGGCACGATGGCAGCTGCACCAGCTGCACAGCACTTGGCACACTGGCAGAGCCGATGATGGGATTTAGAGGAGAAACATACACAAGTGGTACTCCAGAAAGCAAGAAAAGGAGGGGGTTTCCTGTAGAGATGACACCAGGGTCTGTACTACTCAATGTACCAGTTGGCACTGTGGCTTGTGTGAGATTGTAAATCCATGTTTGAGGAAACAGCTGATTCACATTCACCTTATTAAGGCCTAGGCACAGTTCCCGGCCTGGCTTCAGTTTGTGAGTCACACTGTGCATAGCACAGTGCTGGGGACTACCCCTTGCCTTCTACATTCTTCTCCATCCCCAGCTCCCAGCAGCAAATCCTTGGTATATCTAGGAGGCTCCATAAAGGTTAGAGGAACACTGCAGAACTGGCAACTGGTAATCCTGCTACCAGTCCACTAACTATATTTAATAAGAAATTCAGGGTCCTTTGAATGAGGTCATCGGAACAGTCAAACTAGATGGGCCCTCAGAGTTCTTCCAGGTCATTCCTAGGGAGAAGACGGCCCCTGCCCAAGGATACATGCACAGAAAGTGGCGACTTACCCAAGTGCCTGAAAGGCGGGGATTGACCGAGCCCAGTGCATTGAGAGGAAAAGCAGACGGGATGCAGACTCACAGATGTAGTGCACGTTGAGGTACTCTGGCATTGGGCTGGGCATTGTTAGCTGGAAAAGAGGAGGCACATGGCACAGGAGGTGAAGGAAGGACAGGGGATGGCTTTGTCTATCAACATGTATCCCTGTCGTGCTTCAACAGCAGTGGCATCTAGAGTCACTGTCTCTGATTCTGGTCCCATGCAGTCGGGGAGCTTGCACAGACTCCCCATGTTTTCTTGCTCAGTGAACTAGGGTCGAAAGGGCCTTGGAATGTGGTCCATAAGCCTAAGGGGATCTTCCTAGCCCACCTCCATAAAAACATACTCCTCAAGTCTTGCCTGAGCTAAACTGTTATTTGTTCTATGGCAATTCCATTTTGAGCCATAAGTTAAGGTCTAAATTAAATCTGGGGAACAGGGGCCAGGTGCAGTGGCTCATCCCTATAATCCCAGCACTTTTGAGAGGCTGAGGCAGGCTGATCACCTGATGTCAGGAGTTCAAGACCAGCCTGGGCAACACAGTGAAACCCTGTCTCTATTAAAAATACAAAAATTACCCAGGTGTAGTGGCGTGCACTACACCTGGGTAATTTTTGTATTTTACCCAGGAGTTCCAGCTACTGTAGTTCCAGCACCTGTAGTTCCAGCTACTTGGGAGGCTGAGGCAGGAGAATCGCTTGAACCCAGGAGGTGGACGTTATGGTGAACCAAGATTGTACCACTGCACTCCAGTATGGGTGACAGTGAGACAGTCTCAAAAAAACAACAAAAAAAAATCTGGGTAACCGGGGCCAACTTCATGGACTAGCAGGCATTTTGGGAGATGGTCTTAAGGTAGCAGTAACCAAGAGCCAAGCAGCTCACGTGATAGGAGGATGATATCCCATGACTAGAATGTTGTGCGAGGCTCCAGGAATTCCATTGTCTAGAAGGGGCTCCAATGCTTTTGAAGCTGGAATCACACTGGTGACTTGTCTCTTAGGCACCTTTGGGAAACTATGAGCAGGGATCTAGCTTCCTAAGTGACTGGCCATATCTCTCTAGTAAAAATACTGGGTCAGGCACAGTGGTTCACGCCTGTAATCCCAGCACTTTGGGAGGCTAAGGTGGGAGGACTGCTTGAGGCCAAGTGTTTGAGATCACCTTGGGCAACTTATCAAGGACCCCATCTCTACAAAAAATAAAAATAAAAATTAGCTGGGCATGGTGGTACATGCCTGTAGTCCTAGGTACTTGGGAGGCTGAGGCAGGAGGATCACCTGAGCCTAGAAGTTTAATCCCAGGAGTTTGAGGTTACAGTGAGCCACAATCACATCACTACACTTCAGCCTAGGTGAGTATCCATAAAAAAAAATAAATAAAAAGAAGAAGGAAAAAAGAAAAAATACTGAGGGAACAGGAAGACTCAGCAGTCTGGAGACCTAGAGACTGAGAGCGCTTTGGGTGCCCTCTGAGTGTCCTGTAGAAAAAGCAAGACCAGTGAATGACAGCACGGGGAAGACCCGTGAGGTCTTAACAGCACTGTTCAAGGGATCTACTTTCTGTGGCTCTAGAGGGCAGAGTAGCCAGGATCAACAGCTGGCTGCCTGCTTGTTGCAGACTTTATATGAGGGTTTCTATGACACAGAGAAGAGACAAAAGTGCCTGCCTGAGTCCATGGGGCAGCCAGGCTGTCACAGAATGGCAGAGGCAGAGCATTCAGCCCTCAGCAGTTACCACTATGTCAGCCTGTCTTAGTAAAGATGGGCCACGCCTGCTTCAGGGTTACCTTCAGAACCAAATGGCACTGTGAGCAAAAGACAAGTGAAGATGCTTTGTAATGGGAATATCATTCTGGAATACAAGATCCAGTTTGAAGTCATAATGTCCAATACCACAGTTTGAAGATGAGCTCACTCCAAAGTTTAATTTTTTTTTATTTATTTTTTTTTGAGGCGGAGTTTTACTGTTGTTGCTCAGGCTGGTGTGAGTGCAGTGGTATCGGCTCACAGAAACCTCTGCCTCCCAGGTTCAAGCAATTCTCATGCCTCAGCCTCCAGAGTAGGTGAGACTACAGGCATGTGCCTCCATGCCTGGCTAATTTTTGTATTTTCAGTAGAGACAGGATTTCACCATGTTGGCCAGGCTAGTCTTGAACTCCTGACCTGAAGTGATCCACATGCCTTGGCCTCCCAAAGTGCTGAGATTACAGGCATGAGCCACCCTGCCTCGCCCCAAGGTTTGATTTTTAAAACTGCAGACCAGCTTTGGTACAGAACCTCTCCCCCAGCAGGTTGGGGGCACATGGTTAGGCTGAATCCACTCACCTTAAATGTGACGTGTGTGTCTGAAAGGAGGGGGCCTTCAACCTCAATGATGGGTGTCGACTGGTCTCGGCTGATGACGTGGATGCTTCCTCCTCCACTGGTGTCTATCCCATCTGCCAGGCTTGGAGAGGAGGAGCTGTCTGTGGTATTAAGTGCTTTAGCTAAGGTATCAAATGCCCTGTGAGCAAAAATGAAGCATGTAATTGTTGTAAATCTACAGCTTTTAGGGGGAACAGAATTCTAGCTGAGATACGATTTAGAAAAACTACAATGGGAAAAGATTAAATTAAATTCTACCTAGTGAGGGAAACGCTAACAACGAAAGCTTCTTTATTTTATTTTTTTGAGATAGCACAGGCTGGAGTGCAGTAGCAGGATCTACCTTCCTAGCTTCAAGCAATCCTCGTGCCTCAGCCTCCTGAGTAGCTGGAACTACAGGCACACGCCACCACACCTAGCTAATTTTTTTCATTTTTCAGAGACTGAGTCTCACTCTGTCACCCAAGCTGGAGCGTGGTGGTGTGATCTTGGCTCACTGCAACCTCCGCCTCCTGGGTTCAAGTGATTCTCTTGCCTCAGCCTCCCAAGTAGCTGGGACTACACACGCTGGTGGCACACACCACTATGCCTGGCTGTATCTTTTGTATTTTTAGTAGAGATGGGGTTTCACTATGTTGGCCAGGCTGGTCTCAAACTCTTGACTACAGGTGATCTACCTGCCTTGGCCTCTCAAAGTGCTGGGATTACACACGTGAGCCACCGCATCCGGCAAACAATGAAAGCTTGTATGTATTATCAACACATCGTGTTAGGCACTGAGCTATGTATTACCTAACTTCACGGACAATTTCTTTCTCTCTCTCTCTCTCTCTCTCTCTTTACTTTTTCAGAGATGGGTCTCAGCTAGTCTCAAACTCCTGGGATCAAGTGATCCTCCTGTCTCAGCCTGTCTAAGTGCTGGGATTATAGCTGTGAGCCACTGCAACTAGGCCCAATTTCTATTTTTCACAAGTACCCTCCAAAGGTAAAAATTCTCTTCCATTTTACAGATGTAAATGCTGAGCTTACAGTTGTTAAATAACTTTTCCAAGACCATCCATACAATAAGTGATAGAACCAGAATTCTACCTAATTCAAATCCCACCCTCTTTCCACTGGACCTAGATCTTGTTATCAGACCACAAGTTAACAAGGGACTGGAACCCCTGAATAGTCTCCAGCTTTGTATCTGGCTGGTCTGGCATGTTAGGAGCAGAGCACAAGAGCCAAACTGCAGAGAAGAAACATCCTTAGCAGCAGTTATTGATGTCTGGCATTAGCTCATACTATCTATCAGCCACTATCAATCTAGTTACCCTGGTGGATTTAAGCTCTGAATTCATTACTCAGAAAAAATATACATGAGGGTTGGGGGTGGTGGCGCCCACCTGTAATTCCAGCACTTTGGGAGGCTGAGGCAGGAAGCTCACTTGAGCCCAGGAGTTCTAGACTAGCCTGGGCAACATGGCGAAACCCCATCTCTATTAAAAAATAAAAATAAAAATAAAAGACGACGAGAAAAATAGGTTAAAATAGAAGTAGAAAAGGGAATAAACTCTTAATATGCAGATGCATTATTAAATAGTAATTAATACAAATAACTGCTGTCCACTAGAGGTTTCCCCCTACTTCTACTGATTTACTCAATTTTCTTTTCCAAGGCTGGGAATGAAAAGAAGTTTTGATTGTTTTATACTGTATAACGTAAGTGGGTCTATGTTCCCATAGTTAAAATTTGAAAGAAGACAGATGTGCAGGGTCATTGTAACAATTTTATCATCCTTAGTTAAATACAGTACAGGTACCAAAATGCTGTTTTCCACCCTCACAATAGAGGGAGGGTGTCCAGGCCAGGAGGGGGCCTCCACCCTCATGGGCTCGTACCGAGTAATCTCACTTGCAGACTGGTCCTCTGGTTGGATTTCTGAAGTGTCACCGTTGTTCAAAGATTCACTTAGGTTGGCAAGCGAGGTCACTACATTTGCCAGTGTGCCCAGAGCTCCCTGGCTTGTTTCAGCCTATTAAACAAAAAATACTGACATTAAAAATGAACACAGATATGCAAATGACTCTCAGGCCAATGAAGTTACAATGCTGGTTCAAAAACAGCTTAGAGGCGAGGGGAATGTGACTACAAAGGGGCAACATAAGGAAGATCTTTTTGGTGATTTAACAGTTCTGTATCTTGGTGTGGTGGCATTTACACAAATCTAGATATGTGACAGAGTGACAGAACAAAAACAGATAAATTAGACTTCATTAAAATTAAAACTGTTGTGCTTCAAAAGAAATTGTCAAGAAAGTAAAAGCGCATAAAACAAAAGGACAATTCACAGAATGAAATATTTGCAAATCATATGTCTGACAATGGTTTAGTAGCCAGAATATCTAAGGAACACTAACAACTCAATAATAAAAAGACAACCCAATTAAAAAATGGAAAAAGAGGCCAGGCGCAGTGGCTCATGCCTGTAATCCCAGCACTTTGGGAGGCCAAGGCAGGTGGATCACCTGAGGTCAGGAGTTCAAGACCAGCCTGGTGAACATGATGAAACCCCATCTCTACTAAAAATACAAAAAATTAGCCAGATGTGATGGCAGGTACCTGTAACCCCAGGTACGCGGGAGGCTGAAGCAGGAGAATCACTGGAACCCAGGAGGCGGAGGTTGCAGTGAGCTGAGATTGTGCCACTGCATTCCAACCTGGGCAACAGAGCAAGACTCTTACTCAAAACAAAACACACAAAATTAGCTGGGTGTGGTGGCACATGCGTATAATCCCAGATACTTGGGAGGCTGAGACAGGAGAATTGCTTGAACTCGGGAGGCAGAAGTTGCAATGAGCCGAGGTGGCACCATTGCACTCCAGCTGGGGAAACAAGAGTGAAACTCTCTTAAAAAAAAAAAAAAAAAAAAAAAAAAAAAAAAGAGGTGCATTATTTCGCAACAAAAAGGAACGAAGTACTGATACATGCTATACATTATGACCCTTAAAAACATTACGCTAAGTGAAAGAAGCCAGCCACAAAAGACCATATACTGTATGATTTCCTTTATATGAAATGTACAGAGTTGACAAAACCATAGAGTCAGAAAGCAGATTAGTGGTTGGTAGGGTTTGAGAAGAGGGGGAAAAAAGGAGTGACTACATAATACGGTTCAGGGTTTCTTCTGAGGTGATGAAAATATTCTAAAATTAGATAGTGGAGATGGTTTGTACAACCTTGTAAATATACCAAAAATCACTACATTGCACACTAAAAGGGTGAGTTTTATGGCATGTGAATTATATTTCAATTAAAAAAAGAAAGCCAGGGGTAGTGGCTCACGCCTGTAATCCCAGCATTCTGGGGGGCTGAGGTGAGTGAATTGCTTGAGTCCAGGAGTTCAAGACCAGACTGGGCAACATGGTATCTGGGCTTCACTTTCAGGCTTACGCTTTCTCTGCATTTGACCGTGCAGTCAAGAGTCACTGTCCTAGAATGTGTGCTAGTGACAAGCTAAGCCCATGTGATTCATCAGCTCCCATCATGCATATGGCCCCTGCCAAAAGACAGAAGGTGCAAGGCCCAGCCTGAGGACTAAGGCACGCAGGGCAGCTCTCCATGACAGGCAAGGGCTCTAAATTTTGTCTTCTCTTTCCCAAAAGAGAATGCCCTGTGATACCCTGTAATGCCCTGAGAACGCCCATGAATGAGACTGTGAACAGATGAGAAGGAAGCCTGCAGACCTTGCTCTGGGTCCAATGGTCACAGCAATGCCAGTGTTCTCAATTACCAAGTCACCCTCTTAGAGTTGTGACTTGCTGCTACTACTTCCTCATTACTTGGTTACATCAGGAGCACCAAGATGAGAAAAACAGTGAGTTCCCTGGCCTGGAAAAAATCCCCCTCCTTGGTTATCTTCACAGGAGCCAGCCAGTCTCCCCTCTTTGGACTGACAAACGTCTCTGTCCACAAGTTAAATCCCTATGACTGATCTGCTCTAGCAAAGTTTTGGAATTGATAGATTCCTGGCTGAGCTTCACCCTGAAGATCATCTAATAAAAAAGAATCCGGGGCTTTTGCAAAAAGGCCATTTGATAAGCAGCTCTTTCCTTGGTATGCTAGTAGTTTGCCAATGTGTATAACAGAAAAAGAAAACTGCAACAGAAAAGAGAACCACCGAATGTCCACCAAATTGACATCCAGACTGACATGTCACAGTGATTATGACCAGCCAGCTCTGATATGAAAAGCCATCAGCATCTCTAAACAAATCACAAGGAGACCAAGACGTAGGTCATGCTTTTGATGTGGTCTCTGAAGGCCAGGAAGAAGGTGGTGCACACAGTTAGAGAAGTGGCCTGCAATGTCAACATAAAGGATGAGAGAAAGCATGAGTAGAGAACGTCACCTTGGAATCCGTGGCCAGAAGAACTGTACCATCCTCACGTATCAAAGGCTGCTGGATGTTCACAAGCATTCCTGGATCAAGAAGACCTGTTTGTCTATTTAAGACATAAAGAAACTCAGATCAGAGTAGCTTCCAACATTTTATGCACCGTATAATCATGCTGCATTTACCTGTCCTTCCATATTTGTGAAGCTATCTGAATAGCAGAAAAGCTCTAACCAGACTCAGCCGCTTAGTGACTAAACAGAACCCCCACCCCTGTCTCTCTGCAATGAGATATACATAAAGTTAGGTTTACAGCTTGAGACAGGATGAAACACAGATGCATCCCCCAGGGCTTTCCAGGATGACTGCACACTGTGGCCATTCTCCCAAGAAAAGTTTACTTGAGGGGCCCGGCGCGGTGGCTCAAGCCTGTAATCCCGGCACTTTGGGAGGCTGAGACGGGTGGATCACGAGGTCAGGAGATCGAGACCATCCTGGCTAACACGGTGAAACCCCGTCTCTACTAAAAAATGCAAAAAACTAGCCGGGTGAGGTGGTGGGCACCTGTAGTCCCAGCTACTCGGGAGGCTGAGGCAGGAGAATGGCGTGAACCCGGGAGGCGGAGCTTGCAGTGAGCTGAGATCCGGCCACTGCACTCCAGCCTGGGCGACAAAGCGAGACTCCGTAAAAAAAAAAAAAAAAAAAGACAAGTTAACTTGATTTTCAGAAAACCAGCAAGGCATCCTCAACTCCAGCTCTCTCTCTGATACATTTTGGATTTCTTGTTTTCCCCTCTTTCTGATCCTTTTAAAGTAAGTTCAATAGATTACATTAAAAAGAATATACAAGTTAACTATAGCACTGAGACCTTATCTCACCTTAGGTCTTTTGTCTGTACTGCAGAAAAGCCCCAATCTTGAATTATAAAATAATTGTCTTCCTGTATGAATGATGCCTAAATTGCAGGACATAATCTGAATTCAAGGCTAGGAGAATTTCTGACCCCATCATAAATCAGGCATCCTCAGGCCTGTCCAGAGGTGTGACTGAGCAGCTCCAGAAGGGGCAGAATTAGGCAACACAAGGTTGGAGGCTATGGCAGGTGGGTGGGAAGCCACAACAGTGCCTGTTCTGGGACACGTCTGTGCCTCCTCCATCAGCTGCAAAGGTTGACTGCAGTGAGAAAAAGGGACTGACCTCGCTCCGTCTTTGTCTGCCACAAACGTGGGAGTGGCTATCAGGGGACTTCTCAGGTCTTTCCGGATATAGATTTTCTCAGTTGAAGCAGCACAATTGCTTGGTTTCTCCCGTTGCACATCAAAGGGCTTCCGTTCACTCTGTACGGCTTAAATCACAACATAAACATTTGTGTTTAGAGAAACAATTCAAATCAATAAAAACCACATCCCTCGTGGTAAAGTAAGGGGTTTTCTTTAGTAAATCCATTACCGTAGGGAGGATGACTTTGGTGCTAGGTTCATTTAGCTCAGTTTTCACAGTGGACTTTTCGGCCAGAGAGAGGAAATCAAGCCAAACCATGCCATGTCAAATCTAAAGGCATAAAAAAGACCTCACGATGGGTGGTACTCCCTGCTAACAAACTGCAGCACAGCACCTATGTGGCCTATGGAAGCACCCATGAGCCTTCTGGGCCATTTTGTTAATTTTATGTTATTATTTTATTGTTTTTTGTAGAGATGAAGCCTCATTATGTTGCCCACTGGACTCAGACTCCTGGGCTCAAGAAATCCACTTGCCCCAGCCTGCTAAAGTGCTGGAATTACAGGCATGAGCCACAGTGCCCAGTTGGTTTTTACTTCATGATGCTAACAAAATAGATCATTTCAAGGATAAAGAAACGCCCATCTTTGGGCCGGGGGCGGTGGCTCAAGTCTGTAATCCCAGCACTTTGGGAAGCCGAGACGGGTGGATCACTTGGCCAACATGGCAAAACCTGGCCTCTACTAAAAATACAAAAATTAGCCAGGTGTGGTGGCAGGCACCTGTAAACCCAGCTACTTGGGAAGCTGAGGCAGGAAGAATTGCTTGAACCTGGGAGACAGAGGCTGCAGTGAGCCAAGACGTGCGCTACTGCACTCCAACCTGGGCGACAGAGTGAGACTCTGCCTCAAAAAAAAGAAAAAAGAAAAAAAAAGAAAAGAAATGTCCACCTTCAAGTAGGCCCTTAATAGAATGCATTTCCTTTGCCACAATTTGTAGAGGAACCCTTCTAATTTCCAAATCAAGTCTGAATCACTTCTGCAAACTGTTTAATGGGTGTCAATTTTACATCATGCTAGCAAACTCTCCCTTTAGCAGTCTGATATAAGAGCAAATATGCATGTTAGAAGCAACTGAAGAAAATGAAAGCTTTTTAAAGGCAAAAGTGATGAAAGTCAGGGACTAACATTCAGATACGCTGCTAATCAAACTGCTATCCAATTGAATATTGTGTTTGCAGCTACAGCTGTGATCACAAGAAAACTGATTTCAGTCACTGCTCTGAGTAAAAATATTCATCATTGAGAAAAAGGAAAGCTTAGCAATATGGGCCAGTCCCACACCAAGCCAGTGATTTATTTACTCACTTTGGGGAAAGAGCAGTATCATTAGATTAAATAAAAACATCACACTGGGCAGAAATTAGGTTGATATTTCTAATTTCTCAAAAAATACATTTCCATTTATTCTCCAGTTAATTTTACAGATTCCCATTCCCAGAAACGTCAACATCAATACTGAAATATATTGGGGTTTTCAGTGTTCCTAGAAAACTATGCAAAAGATGACAGAACCATGCAGCATACTCAGCAGGAGCCTGCAGTCCTGGGTCGACGGCCACCAGACTTGCGAGGCTGAGTTGCATGCCTTGCTCTGCTAAGCTCCATTTTCCTACTGTGGTTTGAGCCTAACTCCACTCTCCTTGAATTTCTTTGTGCTGCCCATCTTGGGTCCTGATCTTCATGTTAGGGAAGTGACCTCCATGTTGATTGGTCCCTGAAAACTCCCAAAATTCTGGCTATGGGAGTGGAAAGGAGGGGCCTGAGACCTTCCCTGGCTGCCCCACACATCCAGGAGCAATATATTTCCCTTTAGAACCCCAGTTACACAGAGGCTTGGCAAAGGACCTTATCCCAAAAGAAAGTAGAGGGGCTAAGAAGACAAGGAGTAGGCTGATGTAATCCTCAGGAGCAATATATAAGTAGGTGAATAAGCAGATCACAGAAGAGGACCCTGTGGCTGAGAGGCTACGTGTGTCCTCAGGCATCATAGCTCTCTCTTAGTGGCACACCTGGAGGCAGATTTGGTATCACCTTTCCTCCAAAGCCTGTGTTCAATCCACTCCACTAAGCTGCCTCCTGATGCATCTGGAATAAGGCTTTCCACACACACAGCAGGAGAACAGACCAATCCCCGCAGCACTGGCTCTGAATCACCTAGCTGACCCATGAGGTAAACCAAAATGAAGCTTAAGTGCGTAATTTTTCTTAAAAGTATTTTAAGGCCAGGTATAGAAACCTTATTTTTTCTTGTTTACTCTCTCCCTCTGCGTTAACTCATGTGGTTTTAAAATTTTTTTTTTTTTTTTTTTTTTTTTGAGAGGGAGTCTCGCGCTGTTGCCCAGGCTGGAGTGCAGTGGCCGGATCTCGGCTCACTGCAAGCTCCGCCTCCCGGGTTTGCGCCCTTCTCCTGCCTCAGCCTCCCAAGTAGCTGGGACTACAGGCGCCCGCCACCTCGCCCGGCTATTTTTTTGTATATTTTTTAGTAGAGACGGGGTTTCACTGTGTTAGCCAGGATGGTCTCGATCTCTTGACCTCGTGATCTGCCCGTCTCGGCCTCCCAAAGTGCTGGGATTACAGGCTTGAGCCACCGCGCCCGGCTGGTTTTAAAATATTGTTACTCACATTCCATTTTCATGCCCATCTCTAAGCATTTTTTCAGCCGGCAAAACTGACAGCGGTTCCGGTGATGTTTATTGATGATGCAGTCTTGGTTGCTCCGACAGCTGTAGGTCAAATTTTTCCTCACGCTCCTTTTGAAGAAACCTTTGCAACCTTCACAACTGACAGCCCCATAGTGACGGCCTGAAACAGGAGAAAGAATACACAAATATTTTGTGACTGTATTTGTGGATTCAGTTCCTGTGCAAGTCTTATCAAAGTGATGGGTGCATACGCTGTTAGGTGCCAACAGCCACGTGGCCTGAGCATTAAGCATACTGGCCACACCCTTCAAGTAATTTCTCTACAATCTTTCAAGTAGCCTTAGGAGTTCATGATGGAAATACTGAAGCTCGGACAGGTTATATGACAGCTGGCAGATGGCATGACCTTAGTGCTCTTAGTATACAAATGGTCTAACACACAGTAGGAGCTCACAGGTGACAGCTGAATTCTACTATCCACTTGAACACACCTGGGTCCTATTCCTGGAGATCTGGGCTTATGAAGTGGATCAGGTCCCCTGTCCCGCCACAAGTGGCACATAGCAGACACGTTTATGTGTAGCTTCGGCACAGAGGGTCTCACTCCTGCATTTAGCCCCTCTCTCTGATTCACGTCCTGGGCCCTAAGTCTCCCCTGGGGAAGCGGGATAGTCACAGGGAGAAGCATGGGGACTGTGACTGCCAAAGCCCACAGCAAAGGAGGATTACCATATGGCTCACATGGGCTAGCTACTCAGAGCCTTCTAGAAACATAGTTCTAGGAATGAATTTATTAAACACAGTTTATTTTTCTAATCTTGTTTTACTTTGGTGTCTCTTTTTATTTTTGATACATTGTAATTGTCCATATTTATGAGGTATAATTTGATATTTCAATATATCCACATGTTGTATAATGATCAAATCAGGTAGAGTGACCACCACCTTATGCATTTATCATTTCTTTGTAATAAGGACATTCAAAAACCTTTCTTCTAGGTATTTTACAATATATAATACCTTATTGTTAGCTATGGCTACAGTGCAACAGAACACCAGAACTTGTTCCTACTACTTAACTGTAACTTTGTACCAGTTGGTCAGTCTTTCCCAACCATCTCTCACTTTTCCCCTCCCGCGTCTTGGTGCCATTGTTCTACTCTCTGTTTCTATGATATCATTTATTTTTTAAGGATTCCACAGGAGTGAGATAATATTTGCCTTTCTGTGTCTGGCTTATTTCACGTAACATGATGTCCTCCATGTTCATCTATGTTGTCACAAAGAGCAGGATTTCATTCAATTTTATCTATTCCACTGTGCTACATACCACATTTTCTTTAGCAATTCATCCACTGTTGGATACTTAAGCTGATTCCGCATCTTGGCCATTGTAAATAGTCATGCAGTGGGAGTGCAGATATTTCTTCAACATAATGATTTTATTTCCTTTGGATTTGGATCCAGTACTGAGATTGCTGGATCATGTGGTAGTTCTAGTTTTAATTTTTTGAAGAACCTCCATACAGTTTTCTATAGTGGCTGTACTAGTTTACAGTTCCACCAACAATGTGTAAGTGTTCCCTTTTCTCCACATCCTCCCTAGGACTTCTTTTCTTTTGTCTTTTTAATTGTAGGCATTTTTTCTTCTTTTTTTTTTTTGAGACAACAGTCTCAGTCACTTAGACTGGAATGCAGTGGTGTGATTTCGGCTCGCTGCAACCTCCACCTCCTGTGTTCAAGTGATTCTTGTGTCTCAGCCTCCCGAGTAGCTGGAATTATAGGTGTGCACCACCACACTAGGCTAATTTTTTTATTTTTATAAGATTTTATAAAACAAAAATAAAATCTTATATATTTTATCTTTTTTTTTTTTTTTTTTTAAGACAAGAGTCTTGCTTTTGTCACCAGGGCTGGAGTACAGTGGTGCGATCTTGGCTTACTGCAATCTCTGCCTCTCAGGTTCAAGCGGTTCTCCTGCCGCAGCCTCCCAAGCAGCTGGGATTACAGGAACCCACCACCACACCCAGCTAATTTTTGTATTTTTAGTAGAGATGGGGTTTCACCATGTTGACCAGGCTAGTCTCGAACTCCTGACATCAGGTGATCCGCCTGCCTTGGCTTCCCAAAGTGCTCGGATTACAGACGTGAGCCACTGCACCCTGTCAAAAAATATGTATCTTATAAAAATACAAAAATTAGTAGAGATGAGGTTTTGCCACGTTGGCCAGGCTGGTCTCGAACTCCTGGCCTCATGTGATCTGCCCACCTCAGCCTGCCAAAGTGCTGGATTATAGGCATGTGCCACCGCACCCAGCCTGATTACAGACATCCTACCTGGAGGTGATACCTCATGTGGTGTTGATTTGCATTTCCTTGCGGATTAGCGATGTTGAGCATTTTTTCATATAACCATTGGCCATTTGAATGTCTTCTTTTGAGAAATGTCTATTAAGGTATTTTGCCCATTTTTAAATTGAGTTACTTGTTTTTTTGCTGTTAAGTTCCTTATACGTTCTGGATAGTAACCCCTTGTCAGGTGTACAGTTTGCATGGTATCTCCAACTTTTAATTATCAATGACATTAAAAAGTGGCCCTGGCCAGGCAAGGTGGCTCACGCCTGTAATCCCAGCACTTTGGGAGGCCAAGGCAGGCAGATCACCAGGTCAGGGGATCGAAACCATCCTGGCTAACGTGGTGAAACCCCATCTCTACTAAAAATACAAAATTTAGCCAGGCGTGCTGGCAGATGCCTATAGTCCCAGCTACTCGGGAGGCTGAGGCAGGAGAATCACTTGAACCCAGGAGGCAGAGGTTGCAGTCAGCCGAGATCATACCACTGCACTCCAATCTGAGCAACAGAACAAGACTCCATCTCAAAAAAAAAAAAAGTGTCCCCTCCTTCAGTTTAGCTTTCTTATTCACAAAGTGCTTTCACATACATTATGCCTCACTTGTTTCCAGCTGAGACTGACCATGGACATGCTCTTCTGATTCTGTCTTGTTTGTATAATCCAATTTCACAGCTACATTGCCAAGGAGAATACATTTCACAGGATTACCATTTATGGTGGCTACAGAGAATCCCATTGTTCTAAGCTCTAGTATGCAAAACCATTTTCCAAGTGTGCATTTGGAACAACTTGGTCTTGTTCTTTTAAGAATAGTTGTGGTAAAGTGCCTTCTATAACATCGTTTTTCCTTTCTTTGCAATATATTTCCTTGAGTTCTCTATCTCTTTGAGTGACACTAGTTCAGGAGACAATGGCACAAAGAGCCTGTGACTAGGCCTTTCCTTAAGCTCAGAAGAAGACTGACAAATGGGGAAGTCGAGCAGATTTTATGGCCCTTTTGTTATGTTCGTGCTTCATTCATTTGTTCAGAAGTTTGTAGAGTGCCTTTCCTTGCTGAGCAAGAAGACAGGAATACAGAGATAGATGGTAAGACATGGTTTTTGCTTTGACATTCTGATGGGGAAGACAGGCCTGTAGAGTGAATTATATGAGTAGGCAACAACTGATTAGAGAAATCTGTAGGAAAGGGCAATCAGAATCACAGGCAGCACTGTCTACCTGCCTAGTGGGGTAGGTGAGGGCTTCAGAGAAGGGATAGGATGGATTGGGTTTACCAGGACAAAGGGTGGCAGGCACCATTGGCAGATAAATGGTGTCACCAGCGTGAAAGAGAAACTGGAGCTTCTGATCTTCTGTAGATGCTTGTCTGGGTCTGTCTTCCTAAGAGGCTTGGTCCAACCTCCTTTTTAAAAAACAAAACAAACAAACAAAAACCAGGACTACAGTGTCCAAAGTTCCTGTGAATTTTGTGACCACAGAAGAAAGTGGAACCAGGCAGCCATCACAGAACACAGGCCTATGCCCTTGGCATCCCTGGTACTGTGTTCTTATAAAATACTTCTCCATTCCTTCCTGTCTGCCTCACTAACCTTCTATGGATCCCCAGAACAAGCAGGCCAGCACTTGAATTTTTGGGCCAGACATGTTCTTCAGTCTCACTTTACCCAATTGTAATCACAGAAGCCTATAAGCGCTATCTCAAGGATACCGTGGGTATAGACCTTAAACTCTAGGCCCTGGCTCCACTTGCTGGAATGCCCTCCTCCTGCTCCAGCGAACATGTACACAATCACCAAGGCTCCCACGTGTTACTGCCTCTGTGGGGCCTTTCCTGACCCTGGGACTCTAGCTGGAATCACATGCTGCCTCCTGCTTCATTACAGCAGTTATTCATAGTGGGTTATAGTAAGGGGATGATAGAGACAGTTATAGTTAGGATGAAGGGGGATTATACAAATTATACATCTTGTAAAATAGCCAAGTGCTGTGCAAATGCACACTTAACCAAGATCTACAAATCACAGAAATCGTTTCTTGACTTTTCCTTTTTATGTCTAATTATTCGACAAACTACCTTACTTATTTACATCATTACCCCAATCAGAAAAGTAGAATTCATGTGTGAAACCTACAAACGTACATAAAATGGTCTTTCTAAATTAACTACCACCCCACCTCACAACAGTTACTTCATGCTGTTGGCCCGTTATAAGTGCCAGCATAACCTGGAACTACATACCGGAGGCTTTGTCGCCACAGACCACACAGTACTCTACCACCTGGGGCCGCTGGACGTCCGTCTTCCCCAGTAAACGCTCCACAGAGGCAGAATCCGTGACAATCTGAGAGAAACCAGGAAATAAACAGGGGTGCCAATTAAAAACCAAATCACTGCCGGGCATGGTGGCTCACGTCTGTAATCCCAGCACTCTGGGAGGCCAAGGCGGGTGGACCACCTGAGGTCGGGAGTTTGAGATCAGCCTGGTTAACATGGTGAAACACCGTCTCTACTAAAAATATAAAATTAGTCAAATGTGGTGGCAGGCGCCTGTAATCCCCAGCTACTCTAGAGGCTGAGGCAGGAGAATTGCTTGAACCCGGGAGGCAAACATGGTAGTGAACTGAGATCGCGCCACTGCACTCCAGCCTGGGTGACAGAGTGAGACCCCATCTCAAAAACAAACAAACAAACAAACAGACAAAAACCCAGATCACTAAGCAAAGTAATGTTTAACTATAAATTCTCAATGTTGGGTTTCTAAGCAGGAGAACTCTGGACAGAACTGGGAAAATTCCAAATGACAACTTAATCTGACACCCAGAATGGTTCTGCCACTTATCCGGACTGCTCATCAGCTGGGTGGTTTCCCAGGATCAGGTGCTGGTTTCCACTGATCTACTCTATCTGGCTACTACAACCACCCAAAATTGTGGCCCATGTGGGGAATCACACACAGACGCTACCAAATGAAGATATTTAAGATTCTTCCCATAACAACTTGAATGTATGCAAAGAGGTATATTGGCAGAGAAATAACCAAACTTTATTAATTAAATAACTAGGACTCTGACTGAGGCAGCCAGTGGTGAGATGACGAGAACAAATGACCTTTGAAACCTGCTATCTTCCCCTAATTTGTGGTGATTTTCTAGGTGACAGCAATTCATCTGGGAGAATACTAACTGATATCAATACGCGAAAGTGAAAAATAGCTGTTATTTTAAAATGTACTTGAACTTGAGCCAACAATAAGCCTTAAAATGATTTATACACGGTGGGAACACATACAGAAATCATTAAGTAGAATCACCTCTTGTGAAACATGCAACAAAATCAACAGCCATTCTTTCACAGACAAGGAGTACTCTAAAGGAGGAGGAATTCCTTTCTGATTTCAGATGATCACAATGTACTCCGGGAAAGGAAGGATGAGACAGCATTTAGTAAGTGTGGCGTAAGGTGTCTAAAAGAACAGTTCCGAAAGCTGAACACGTTGGCATTCTGATCCCAGCTCAATCAGAAGACAAAAAAATTCTTCCCTTCCTTAAGTTTCTTCATAGTAGAACCTCCCCACCCAAAACAGAGATTCTAAGCAGCATTAATTCAATAGTCAAAAGGTGGAAGCAACCTACATGTCCGACAACAGATGAAGAGAAAAAATGTGGTCTATATACAGAGTGGAATATTACTCAGCCTTTAAAAGGAATGGAATTCTGACACATGCTACGACATGGATGGGGGAAATAAGCCAGTCACACGAAGGCTGATTTCACTTATATGAGGTACCTAGAGTAGTCAAATTCATGGAGACGGAAAGTAGAATGGTGGTCACCAGGGCTGGGCGAAGGGGAGAGGAGAGTTACTGTTCTATGAGTATAGAGTTTCAGCTTAGGAAGAAGAAAAGAGTTACACAGAGCTGGACAGTGGTACAACAATGTAAATCTACTTAATGCCACTAAACTGTATACCTAAAGCTGATTAAGATGGTAAGTTTTATATTATGTATATTTTATCAAAAATTAAAAAAAAAAATTAAACACAACCCTGACGAAGCATGCTCTGTGCTCAGCCATCATGGGATACTGACCTTGAGTTTCTGTTCTCTAAGTGTTGGATTTGGAGATTCTATGCTTCCCAGCCTCATGCTGAGTAACAACCCTGCTTTCCTTCAATGCCTGCTCTTTTCCTTGCTATAGACTGTCCTCAACCCCATTCTGCCTTGAGAGAGCAGGAAGAACCAGGGCAGAGATAGAGACAAGAACTGAGGGGCCCAGAGTGAGCAGTACACGGTGGCAAGTAAAGACATGATGAAAAGCTGGGGCCACAGACCTGATGATCTGGACAAAATCAGTTCTCGCTTGGCTACAGTCAGCCCTAGGTGGTACCTTTAAAATATCAAGGGCTGACACTTGATGGCCTTAGGTAAGAACAATTCTCCAGTAGCCTCAGGGCCGGCTTGCTCATGCCAGTCTCCTGTGGCCACTGACCTCCTTGTTGTACTTCCATCCTCTCTGAGAGTTACAGCTGACTGTCTTCTGGGCCTTGCCACTGGTTTGCTGGTTTATTACTTTGGCCAAAGCAGCAACCTGCCATGTTTGCAGGTCCCCAAAGAACCTTCCAGGGATGGATTTGGCCTCGAAGGCAGACGTAAGAACAAGTCAGGAACAAGTTCGATAGCAGAAGTGCTGAAACAAATACCTGTCCAAAGGCCTTACCTGGATCCTGCCAGGGACGAGGTTGTCTGAGGTGGTAAATATGAGTTGCTTGGCGCTGGATGTCTCTGGGGAAGCCAGGATCACCTTCCCAGTTCCAGCTCCATCTGGGCTGGTCAGGATGAACTGCTGTTTAGGGGATCCGGAGGCGTCCACTGCGGTGACTATCTGGATCTTCTGTCCTGTCTGCTGGTCTGTGACAATCTATAAGACACAACATGGAGGCCGCTCTCATGGAGTGTCACAAGACCTATACATTTGCAGGCGGTGCTCAAAGTGGTGACCGCCAAACACCTTGAATTAATGCTGTCTAACATGCAGTTTCACTAGTCCACGGTGAATCGAGAAAAACAAAACACAATAGTGAGCTTTTCAGAAACAAATTTTCATAAAGCTAATTTTAGTCTAGGACCATATCTTTCCTACTGTTTTTAGAAGTAAAATGCCCTTTCTTTTATGAAATGAAGGCAGTAATAAATAATAGATAGGTTTAACTTTTTGAAAAGTCCTTGTCCTCACGTATTAAGAAATGTAGGCAATCCTAACTCTTGAAATGCTACTGATCCATAAAGTCCAAAAACTTGGGAACGACTGCTTCAAAGACGGCCTCTTTCTAAAAGGTCCTATAAATACTATTGCCTTAGGTTGAGAGAATACAGGGAGACCCTTGCTGACACACACTCAACTCACCACTAATTGACCACCCACCTCCTTCACTCCCACTTCCTGACTCTGAGGTCTTTAAGGATAGAGACTACATCTGATTCACTGCTATATCCCCAGGGCCAGCACAAGGCCTGGCACATAGAGAGAAGACAATAAAAGATCATAGGATGCACCGAAGGAAGTGGGCACTGACTCTGGAGAAGTCTTGACCCTTATTCCTCTGGGAGTTCCCACTCTTCAGGAGCATCACTGTCAAGACTCCACTTCTTCACACAGTCCTTGTCTAATTGCATCAGTCACAACAAAAACAGTTGCTATGATAAGAATGAACTCTCTTTTTCTTGCTCATGAAGTTCTTTAAAGTTGTTCTAACCCCCGTCCTGCCTCTCTCCTAGGCCAGATATTCCTGGCTAGCAGCACTGCCACCTTTCCCTCCAGGCACCAGCAGACCCTTACTACAAAGAGGACTCTGGAGCTGCTGCTGCTGCTGTGTTGGGTGAGGGGAAACATGCTATGTCTCTGGCTGGAACTCAGTTTCCTACAGCACAGTACATTTATGGGCAGGTCTAGCATCTGTACCACCTCTTGACAGACTTTTGAAATGGAACTCTGGCCGGGCGCGCTGGCTCACGCCTGTAATCCCAACACTTTGGGAGGCCAAAGTGAGAGGATCACCTGAAGTCAAGAGTTCAAGACCAGCCTGGTCAACATGGTGAAGTCCCGTCTCTACTAAAAATACAAAAATTAGCTGGGCATGGTGGTGGGCACCTGTAGTCCCAGCTACTTGGAAGGCTGAGACATGAGAATTGCTTGAACCCAGGAGGCAGAGTTTGCAGTGAGCCAAGATCGTGCCACTGCACTCCAGCCTGAGCGACAAAAGGGAAACTCCGTCCCCTCCCCCCCAAAAAAGAAATGGAACTCCAAGGTTGAGACAACAAACTCACACAGTCTAACACAACAGCTTTGCTAACTGCAATATGGAAAATAAGACAATGTTGGCTGGCTCAAAATAAAATGACATAGGCAAGAAAAGATTCAATCACTTAGATGTTTACTGAGCACCCACTATGAGTCAAGCACTGTTCTAGGTACTAGGAATATGGACGTGAACAAAAAAAGGTCCCACCATCATGGAACTCAACTTCTAGTGGGGGAAACAGACCATGAACTCTGAATAAATAATATCAGTCAGTGTAAATGCCCTGGAGAAAACAAAAAGCAGAATAAACAGAAAAAGCATGACATTGGGAAGGAGACAGGGCTGCAACTTTAGGAGGAGAGACATCTCTGAGTATGTGACACTAAGCAAAGACTTGAATCAAACACAAGAGGAAACTGCAAAAATGTGGCAAAGTGTGCTACAGGGCACAGCCAAGTGCAAGACCAGAGAGGACAGCAGAATAGGATGACAGATCCAAGAATGAATCCTCAGCTGATCATGGGACAAACCCCAGTATATCATCATTTCCAATTAAAGGGGCAAAAGATGTTTAAAGCTCAAGGAGAACAGATTTGGAGGGAATGAAAGGAAGAACCTTTCATCATTACAATCTGTGGCATGCCCAGAGTCCCCCAGAAACATAAAACATGAGACAGAAAACCTTGTGAGAAGAATTATCTTTAAAAAAACTTTCCTACCCAAGGCTCAACTGAGAGACTGCAGACACAGGCTGGTTGACACACACTTCTCTCAGCTGCCACAGAAGGGATTTCTTGCCTTAAACAAGATGGCCTTTCGAAGCCCTTATAACCTTGAGCTCCGTGAGTCAAATGTCTATCAATTTTTTTTTTTTTTTTTTTTTTTGAGACAAGAGTCTCACTTTATCACCCAGGCTGGAGTGCAGTGGCATGAGTATGGCTCACTGCAGTCTCAACCTCCTAGGCCCAAGCCATCCTTCTGCTTCAGCCTTCTGTGTAGCTGAGACCACAGGCGTGTGTCACCACACCCAGCTAATATTTTAGAAAAATTTTTTGTAGAGATGGAGTCTCATTTTGTTGCCCAGGCTGGCCTCAAATTCTTGGGCTCAAGTGATCCTGCTGCCTCGGCCTCCCAAAGTGCTAGGATTCAGGCATGAACCACCAAGCCTGGCTCATGTCTATCAATTCTTATTTCCTTCCTAAACTGTTTTCCCTGTTAAGAAATGACATAGTTATGTGATTGAGAGGGGTCTTCAATTACCAACTAAAACCAAGGCAATACTAGTAATTCCTTTGCCTTTTTGTAATCAGAGATGACACATTCTGTACCAGAGTACACACAGATAACCAACATGTCATTTCCTTGTATGCTCTTCTCCAGTCATTGTGGTTGAGGTATGGCAAGTATGAGGTCAGGGTATGGTGTTAGAAGGTAGAAGTTACTGGTTCCAGACAGGGACAGTAGCTCTTAGTGGCAGTATATAACATACTTCAAGGCTCAGAATTTTTATTTTTGAGACAGGGTCTTGCTCTGTTACCCACGTTGGAGTGCAGTGGCATGATCCTGGCTCACTGCAGCCTCGACCTCCTGGGCTCAAGCAATCCTCCTATCTCAGCCTCCAGAGTAGCTGGGACTACAGGTAAGCACCACCATGCCTGGCAATTTTTTTTTTTTTTCTCTAGAGATGGGGGTCTCGCTATTTTGTCCAAGCTGGTCTTGAACATCTGGGCTCAAGTGATCCTTGTGCCTTCACCTCCCAAAAGCTGAGAACCAATGTACCTGGCTAGATTATTCTTTTCTTTTTTTCTCAAAGACTCGCGCTCATAAAAATTCAATGAATTACTTATAATTTGGGGATTTTTTGTTTATCTTCACCCTCCTAAGACATTTGTATCCTCCATTTAGAGAGAACACCTCCATGAGAAAACTAAAAATGCAGGCAGAAAAAAAAAATCTTCCAAATACCCTATTGGAACACAAGGGTGACCACTAGGCAAGACCTTGTTAACAAACATAGATAGATTCCTATTTAATGACCTAGAGGAAACATCAAATTGCAAGGATATATCCAAGCTCATTAAAATTTAAGTCGGCTGTGGAGGAGAGGTATTGTGCATAGAACTTTACTCCCTGAAAAGATACATTCCAGCCAAAATTCCCAGTATCTATTAATGTGACCTTACTTGGAAGTAGGGCCTTTGCAAATGTAATTAGGATAAGATGAGGTAATACTGCATTAGGGTGGGCCCTAATTCAATGAATGGTGTGTCCTTATAAGAAGACCACGTGGCAATGGAGGCAGAGATTGGAGTGATGCAGCTGCAATCAAGCAAGGATTGCCAAGGACTGCTGGCACCCACCAGAAGGTAGGAGGAGACAAGGAAGGACACTCTCCTAGAACCTTAAAGAGAGCATGGCCCTGCTGACACCTTGATTTCAGACTCCTGGCCACCAGAAGGTTGGCAAAATAAATTTCTATTGTTTTAAGTCACCAAGTTTGTGGTAATTTATTGTGACAGCCCTGGGAAATTAATACAAGAGGCGAATTTTATTTAATTTCTTTATTTGGAACAAAAATTCTTAACCTTCTGTCTGTAAACTATAACAAATTGGGGGGAAGAGAGTAATGTAAGAAGATAAGGGCTATTTTCTGTGATTTTTAAGGCCCTCAATAGCCTACCTAGTCAGAGCTGCTACAATGCTTGTTGTGAAAAAGTGAATTTGTTTGAACATGATTGATATGTTAGTAAATAATTAGCATATAATGCAAATTTTGTGTTTATGCATGGTTTCTTCCATGAATAACACTAAGTAAATAGGTTAACAGAAAATGACACTGAGCTGAAGTTATCCATGCAGGGATACTCAGTGCACGTGGTATGAGTCACATTCAATCCATCTGGTGATTTCAGGTCACCCCATGTCCACCACTCACAGTAACTCATGAGACGCAATCCTCCCTACACCTACCTCCACAAAGAAACTACAGGACTTTTTCAAGGTAAAGTGCCGTATTTATTTATTTTTGAGATGGAATTTTGCTCTTGTTGCCCAGGCTGGAATGCAATGGCATGATCGATCTCAGCTCACAGTAACCGCCTCCCAGGTTCAAGCGATTCTCCTGCCTCAGCCTTCAGAGAAGCTGGGATTACAGACACACGGTACCATGCCCAGCTAATTTTTTTTTATTTTTAGTAGAGATGGGGTTTCTCCATGTTGGTCAGGCTGGTCTCAAACTCCCGACCTCAGGTGATCCGTCCACCTCGGCCTCCCAAAGTGCTGGGATTACAGGCATGAGCCACCGCGCCTGACCAAGTACCATATTTATTATAGTCACTATGTATTTAACTACTTGCAGGTTTTATTAGATTCACTATCTGTTTTTTAATATGTTACTGACAAAGTTTTTGAGAATTGTGTCACTAATCTCATTTTTTTCCCCATCAGTCCTGTGGTTTTCATTGCACAATTTGGTAAAGTGTGGGAATTTTCAGGAACACATGTCACATTATAGCACAACTGACTTTACTAAGCTAAGGTCCTCTCTAGTTAAGGTCCTCTCTAGTTCTAATTCCAAAGGACCTTGAAACGATCTTATACACCACCATTCTCCCCCATGTTACCCACTCTGTTCCAGCCAGCTCAACATCTCTGTTGCAAAGAAGAGTCTGCCAATGAATGGCCTGCAGGCAAAAACCAGCCACTGGATAACTTTTGTTTGACTACCCAAAATTATTATTTTTTAATTTTTTTCTTGAGACTAGGTCTTGTTCTGTCATCCAGGCTGGAGTGCAGTAGCATGATGTTGGATCTTTACAACCTCCACCTCTCAGCCTCAAGTGATCCTCCCATCTCAGTCTCCCAAGTAACTGGGACTACAGACTCGTGCCACCACGCTTGGCTAATTTTTGTATTTTTTGTAGAGATGACATCTCACTATGTTGCCCAGGCTGGTCTTGAACTCCTGAGCTCAAGCGATCCACCTACATCAGCCTCCAAAGTGCTGGGATTACAGGTGTGAGCCACTGCACTCAGCCCCCTAAATATTTTTTTAAAAAACTTTGCTAACATCTAAAAATTGAGTATTTCCCATAATCAAAATCAAATTTGTAGTTCTCTTGACAAACTGGAAGCTCAGGTTATCCTGGGCTCAAGTTCTCTCCATGGTGCCAGGTGGCTGGAGATGGTGTGGTTTGGCTACCCCTTTAGGTGAGGTAGCCTCTCCAGTTCATCCCTATCCTCACCTTGCCACCTCTTTCACTGTAAACACGGGAGACAGGGCTTGGTAGCTACAGACATGAATATGAATGCTTACTCTATTACTTTCCAGCTGTGTCAACTTGGAGCAGTTACACAAGCCCTTGAGCTCCATTTATGTATCTATGAAAAAGGATGACTAGGAAATTGAAATGATACGATGTGTGTGAAACTGCTTGGTACACTGCCCAGAACACGCCAAGACCTTGGTAAAGTATTCCTTCCCTCTAAGCTCTCACATACTCCTTTCCTCACTCAGTTTTGTCTTATCCCTTTCATCTTATCAAATCGCTCCTGATGAAAAAGTCAAGACTTTTTTACCATGGCTTACTCATTCTTTCATTCATTCCTCAAATATTTACTGAGGGTCTATTCTGTCAGACAGTGTGTTAGACAGTGGCACATGAAGATGGCTCCTGCCCTCATGAAACTTTTAGTTCAGTCAAAGACACTGGCAATATACAAGGAAACAAACCAGTCAGTAAACAATTTCAATTTATGGTACATGTTATGAGCGAAAAGACCAGGTTGGGGTAACCCCGAATAACAAAAGTATTTAACTTTAGAAAGAGAGGTCAGGGGGCTGGGCGCAGTGGCTCATGCCTGTAATCCCAGCACTCTGGGAGGCCGAGGCGGGCAGATCACGAGGTCAGGAGATCGAGACCATCCTGTCTAACACAGTGAAAACCTATCTCTACTAAAAATACAAAAAATTAGCCAGGCGTGGTGGCAAGCACCTGTAGTCCCAGCTACTCGGGAGG